CGTGTAGCTGTGCAGCACCTGGTGAGGTGAAACCCGCCAGGGAAAACTCGTACGAGTCTCCTGTGAGCTTGTCTGCCAGTCAGGTAGCGTCACCGAGAGGTTCGTGGCGGCTCTTCGTTTTCTTTAAACACAACTGAGCTGAGGGTAAGAAGAGAAATGTTTACAGGATCACAGCTTCTGCCGCGGACGTTGGCACGCGTGCTGACTGCCTGGGAGGTTTTGCAGGCTGAGCTTTTGGTAGGGATGCTTTAATGTATCACCATGGTACTTGAACTCCTCAGCTACAGGAAGTTTTTTTTTTTTTGGGGGGAACCCGTCTGAACAACGGCTGTGTTAAGAACGGAGCCCGAGTAGTGTACGAGAGACCTGATGGTAAATTGCAAGAGTTGGGGTTCACATTCACAAATTCATTCTTTTTCACATCAGCGTTCCCTGGTGGGATGTGCACAGCTAGTAGCTCTGTTGACCTGTGCTTTTCCACCTCTCTCTTCTGTTACATAAATTGTAGAGACAATCTTTAGTAGCCGACCTCAATGCTGAATTGTGGACCATCACGGTGTAGTGAATTCGGAGGTACCACGCATGGGCTTTCTTAGACATAGTGTCTCTTTCTACCTGGAAGTCTTGTCTGGATAGAACTTGGCCACTTTCCTGAGACTTCTACCAACACAGAATTTTGATCTAAACTTCATGGAGATAAACTTAAATAGTTTTGCTTAATGTTACTGCTTAACATCCCAAGCTATTTGCAGAATAGTTTTAGTGAATTTAATACAACTGAATCCCTAAGTTTAGTGGCACGACTAAGATTAGGCAGGTAGAATTTCTCCCTTGCAGGCCTTGATAACAACAGCTTTTAAAGAACTTTAGGTTAAAATTGTTGATATGTGGTTTTTTGGCTTCAAAAGGGATTATTTTATAGGTAACTGACTTTATAGGTGGTATATGTATTTGTAGGGGGGGATTTTTTTTTTCCTGGTTCTTTTGGGTATTAGCAACCTCCAAAAAGATGAACATGCCATTTCTCAACTACTTATTTCTCAAAAACAAGCTATGAAGTAACCAGATGTGAATCAGAACATTTTTATTATTCTGTGCAAACTTGTATGCAAGCATTCTTTTTCCTTACTGAAGCTGAGGCAAGATTCAGATTTCTTAAAAAGCATGTGCAAGATGCTTTTGTCAGCATATAAAGGAGAAGTGCAACTTTAACGTTGTTTTGGTGCTTATTTATGCGAAGACTGCGTTCTAAGGAAGAAAATGTGTAAGTGATATAGGTGCATGATCTAAACCTTTCTGCAAAGGTATTGGTGAGGAAATGATTCAAAGATCCTAAAGCTGACTCTAATATTGCAAGCATTTATACATGTTAATGATGTTGTTGCACTAGTTACCCCTAAATCGGAAAGTCAGTTTGGTAGTGCTTAGATCCTCTTCTATTTCTGCAGCTCTGAGCCTGTGTGGGGACAAGGATGGAGCACGAAATGCAAAACTCAAATGAGTTATATTGTGCCTTGAACTTCTTGAAAATGTGTACTCTGCCCTCAGAAAGGAAAACAACTAAAGTCAGTTGAGAAGAACTGGTACTGGAAGATTTGATGTATTTTATGGGAATAAATTCAAATAGAGATTTCCAGATCTTGCTGTTTTATTTAAAGGGCCATTTATGATTTTTACAAGTTGATGGTAAACCTTATACTGAACCAGAATTTAGTTCCACTCTTGGCTCTAAACAAGCAAAATTGTTGATAATGTGTTAGGAATGAATAGAAACGTTTTGTTCGTGGTTGGGTACAGAGAACAAATACGAGATTTCCTCACTTCCAGTACTGCGTGTACGTTCTGAGCAACGCTAACCAAAACACGTGTAGACACATAAGCTGTGCCACCTCCTGCGCTGTGATTCTCTTTCAAATAAAGTTTATGTCCTGAAGGCAATCTTTGTATGTTTTTCTGCACGTTATATACAGCTTCTCTCGCTCTCCTTTTTTTGATGATGCTTTGCTCTGTGAGTTGTCCCACTGACATCAGTAGGAGCAGTGAAAGACTTGAGTTATTATTCAGTATCAGTATTTTGTGTCCTCCACACGCAAGCCTTCAGACTGTGCTATGGGACCCTTTGTGCCCCAAGCACTGGAAATCCCTGGGCGGGGGGGGCACGGGCATGGTCGCTGCTACAGTTTGGATCAAAGCCCTTGTTTATTTAGTCTGAACAGACAAGAGTATAGAGGGGACCAAGGCTTCAGCGTGCAAATTCCCTGTGAACAAGCAGCTTGTAAGTCTCGGGGGTTTGTCATCTGAATCTCTCAGCTCTTGGATCTGCAGTTCATCCTGCAGCAGCAGAAATAGCCACTGAAAGCTGGAGGGAAAGGGGTTAAAGAGCCTTCCCTTTCACCTTACGCAAATATGCAAGAAATACTTGGACAAGAACAGTAAGTCAGGAGTGCTGTGGGAAGAGGGACAGCTGTTTGTTTTTTTTCCTCCCCCAACGTAGAAGCTATTTAAATATTTACATAATCTCTTGCTAAAAGGCTTTCTTTCCTATACTTTTCTGATTTATTATTAAGTTATGAATGGGGGAGAGATTTGTAATTGCTAATTCTTCCACTTTGTTGAAAAAGTGTATTGACTGTTTTATTTACTCAGAGAAATATGGTAGTAGTGTTTTCTAACAGATTTAAATGGTTTCACTGAAGCTTGTGCTTTGCTGTTTAATATTATTGCTGCTTCTTTTCATGTACTTTATATCTTAATAGGCTATCTGAACACACAGTAAAAATAGGAAATTTCAGACAATACAACCTTGAAGAGAAAGCAGTGGAAGACTAATATTATATGTAGATAATTTCAGAAGATTAATAATACAGTTAATAAAATAAAGCACTTGTAAATGCAGGAATTATATATTCAGTGTTTTATAAACAGTTCTGAATGGCCACCAGGTCCTTCATTGATTAACACACACCTGTTCTGTGCAGACTCTCCTACTAGGTCACTGCATCTAAAATTCTATAACTATTCAAGGCATCTATTTGTGTTAGTTTAAAGAATCGGCAATATTTAATGACATGAAACATCTTGGATTACAAAGCTCTTGCAGGGATGGGAAAAGTAAAAGTAGAGCTCCTTAGGCTCCAGAGGAAAGAATTCAGCAAGTGGTTAGTATTACACCTAGGAAGTAATCTTTTTAAATCAACAGATCATAGGAGACACTACAGTTAAACATATCCATAGTCTTTGTTGGACTGAGGCCTTGATCATTAATCATAGTTCAAAATTAAAGGTGTTTCACTTCAATATAAAATGAATTTTCCAAGGAATGTGTTTTGCACACAATACAGACATTCAAGACACAGTTTGAAAGTAATTTAGCATAAGAAAGAGTTTCTGTTTAGTTTGATAGTAAGTATTTCAGGTTGTCTTTTCATAGTCTCAATTTTGTCAGACATGCAAGTGATGTACAGGAGCTGTTTGTTTTTGAAGAGTACTAGGCATGTACCCTGGGTAGCCTTCACAGAGCCAAGATTCACCCCTTTCTGTTGAAGCGACTGACAGAACTCTGAGAGGCTTTGGCAAGGTCAGTACTTCATTCTCAAAAGTTTGCAGCCCTGTAATTGTTATTTTGGAAGTAATCCTTACTCTTTTCTATAATTACCCGTATAATCCCCTTGAAAAAGACTGTGGCAAAAGCTGCAATTAAAAATTAAGCAGAAAATATATTTTAGTATATGTAGGCTCAGGTGCAGGGAAGCCTTTAAGTATGTGCCTGATTTTAAGTGGCTATACACGTGGTGGCGTGATCTAAATCTCAAATACAACTAGATTTCAGTTAGTATCCAGAACTCTCTTCAGTCTGGACGAGACCCACAGTTTAATACTGAAGTGACTTTGGCAACTACAAATCCCAGGGAGCATTGCCGTTAGCAGGTCTGTGCAACCGGATTGGCATCCTGCAGGGACCAATGGCAGGCAGAGAATTCAAGAAAATTCATGTGTGTCAGCTGCCAGTATTAAAAAGCACTGGAGAGAGCTGTAGACCTGAGTGGAAATTGCCTGTTTCCCTGCGCTACTTTTAAACCCTTGTGTGAGCTTTGAATTGATATTATATTTTACACCCTCTGTGCCTCGGCTTGAAAAGCCCGTTGGACTAGTCCAGATGGATGCAATTCTGAACTGCAGACCGGATGACTTGGAAGATTACTACAACTTGCTAGGATGCGACGAACTATCTACGGTAAGAGCCTTCCCCACCTCCCCTCCAGGTTAATAACATTTTGATGTGCTTGTCTGTCTACAGGGGGGATTTGAAGTTGTTTATCTCTACAGGCAGGACTATTTGAAATGCATTGTGAACCTTCTTTCTTGCCACTTTTATCTTTTAGTATCTCCCTTCGTAAAGCTCAATTTTCTGACCTGTATACCAATGTTAAGATGCTAGAATAAGGCTTATATTAAAAGTGTCTTATAAAACAGGATTGTATTACAGATACAGCTGAAATAATGGTTTATTCATTAGTTTAGTTCAACGTGATATGGTTGTGAATCATGAGCCAACTGCATAAATTTGACAACATCCAAATAATATTTTGGAATATATTTTCGGTTTTAAAAGGTGAAAAAAGCTATTTATATGCAACTAATACAATGAATGTTCATAGCTGTAGGTCACTGGTAATGCTATTGAGTTTCTCAGGTTTTATACATATTTTTTAAAAACTGTATTCATTGGTTGGGAGGAAAAAAAAAATCGCTTTTTCATTCATCATATTAATGAGTTTTAAATGCTAATTTTAATGACATTCAAGTTTTATTAATTTGTTTTGGTAGCAGATACATACTTTATAATGACATCTAGCTAAGCAATTGTTGAACTATTTTTAGCTAAAACAAGTGCTCTTCTTCCTAAAGGTGTCCATATAACATTTTTTGGATAGTCTGAGTTAGTGGTATGCTAATATTTTTTTAATCTAGTTGTTATATTAACTGGAATTGTGTTTCAATTTTGGAAAAGGGGTTTTGATTACTCTGCTGTAATGAAGGATGTGTTCAGTGTGGATAAAAGCTGTATTTTGCTCATTAAATTCAGTCAGATGCTCTCATCTGTCCTAGTGGTCAAATGCTGGGAAAATATCTCTGTCTTTTCTGTCACTGAAAGCATACTAGTAAGCATCTTCGATCTGTTAGAAGGCGATTTAAAGCTTTTCCTGAGATAACTCCTAAAAAGTCATCCCAGCAGAGGGCGGTGTTAAAGTTTCTATGTAGGCTTGTTTCGCAGATGCTATTTCTCATTTTCTACCTCACACTAATTCCTTAAGGGCTTAGCAATTAATGAATAGTTCAAGTACATATGATAATGATTTTTCGAATTGCTTAAAAATGAAAATAAAAAGACGGAATACATGCTAATGGGTCCTGAAAAATAATCTATCAAGTATTATTTGTTAAGAGAAGCAGCAGATGTTATTAGATTATTTTTGACATGGGAGTAGGAACTGAGATCACAAGTTGACTGAGTACCATGATTGCCTTCCCTCAGGATGGTGCACACTACTTCTAACATTTAACAGAATTTTGAAGCATTACTGGTGTTTTGCAATCACATTACTTTGTATATGCGGTCAAGTATTTGTAGCGGCACAGGCTTCTTTAGGCACATACAGTACATTCCCAGCTGCAGTGCTTTCATCTAAGCTGCTGAATATTCTGGTCTTGATCTGACCTGGTTAAATTTAAGCACAAATAGTCTAAATTTCTACAGATTTTCCCTGTATTCAAGTAAAGACCGATGTTCATTCTTGGTTTCTTGTAGAATTGAGCTCATGGCCACCTAGTTCATCTTCAGACTTGAGACGAAGAGGGGAGATTTAATCTACATCCTTCTTCCAAGAACAGTGTTATTCATATATAGTGGGTATTGGATACCTTTATTGGTAAAACATCTCACTGACAATTTCATATAAATATTTTGTATAAACTTCCTACAAACTTTTCCTTCTACTGATTTTTTTTTTTAAACTGAAGACTTCCACGCTACCCCTCTGCTACTGTACATATTTTAACTTTAAAGTTCCCCTTTATACAACTATGTTTTAGAGATGGTAGCTAGCTATATAGTAACCAGTTTCCACAAGTTCTCTGTACAATGTATATATTTTTAAGTGTCTTACTGACTGGAAATACCACCTTATATCTGTCCCTCTGGAAGAAGTTACTGAGCAGACCGAAAAATGTAGAATTTTTAAAGTATCACTGTAGACCATGTTTTTCCCAGCATATGACAACAAAATTTGGTGAGCTGGTTGAGTGAACTGTAATTTTATTCTAAAGAAAGAATGTTATGAGCCTTAATTTTGAAATAAATAATTTAAATTGTATATGGATATCAGGGTTTGAAGGATGAGGAATTTATATAAACAGCCTTTCTAGCATGGGAAAGAATAGTAGCTAATTGATATCTTAGGGCAAATTGTTGTGAAAGCTTTAGCTGTACTGAAATGATATAAAGCAGTTTTGGCTTCTGAATTATAATAAGAAGCAAGATACCTTGACAAATCTGAAAATTTGAAAATCTAAGCTGATGCCCACTCCAGTGGTTTCCTGTATTTTGTTAATTTTTAATATGTCTTTGTTTTTCCAGTGGTTGTAATACTTTATGGTACTATAAACTGTGTGGGAACTTGTAATTAACTAATAAACTAATCCATGCCAATATTCTAATATTGATTACAAATTTATTCTATTCCAAGCCAACTTTTTTGCACAAAAAGTTAACTTGACAGGAAGATTGTGAACTGCTAGTTATCTAGCTTTGGGTATCCAAGATGGAAAAGTCATGTGGTACTGGCTAAATTTCCTATGAAAAGGATACGGAGAAATCCACCCAATCCCACAAATTGATCTTCAACAATACAGAAGGTCTTTGCTTCCTGCAATGAGGCTTTGTTAAAAGTCAGAGTTGATTAAACAAAGTGAAGAGCAACTGAACTGATGCATTTTGCCTACGTGGTCAAATGGGAGGAAAGGGTTTCACACACATGATCTTTACATATTTTTCTTAAAGCCAACTTGCCATATTGCATGACTGAGCTTCACAAAAACAAGAATAAGGATGAGTGCATGGAAAATGAAATTAAATAAGCAGTGTCACTGACAGATGGTTGTTGTTACCTATTTTGCTTGTACTAAAGCTTGTAAAAATGAATAGGAAAAAATCTTTCAGCATTCTTTGTTGTTCCTCCCAACCCCTTTCAAAAAGCAAATTTGAAAATCTTTCCTGTGTGTATGTATTTACTCACTTTAAGTCTTGACATTCTGTTTAGGTTGAACAAATTCTTGCAGAATTTAAGATTAAAGCCCTTGAATGTCATCCTGACAAACATCCTGGAAATCCCAAAGCAGGTATGTATTCTTCCCTGTTTAAAAACAATCTGTTTTCTTCTTATATTAACACAACTAAAATATTAAATTCAGCCTTAAAACTTTATTAAATATTCTTTTCCCCTGATATATTTTAATTTTCATGTGTATTGAGCATATTGTCTTTAAATAGCAAGCTTTAATATTCTTTTCTAACATTTGCACGCTCCTAGGTGATAGAGCAGGAAGACACTTTAGGGATTTAAATTTTTTTTCCTAGGACTTTCAATTTTTTTTCTTTCTATGGTAGAACATCTTTTAATCCAGAAATTATTTACGGAGTATCCCTTTCTAGACCTAAGAAGTTGGCCTGCTTCCATGCTCGGTGGCATTCAAGTGCCATACTTGCGTCAACTAGTTAATTTGCTTCCACGAACAAGCCCATCAGGAACACATTAAATGTACTTTAGTTTCTTTTAATGTAATTTAATGACTGGAAATAAAGAGAAGCCAGCACCACATGAGTAGCCATCTGTTTGCAGAACAGCAGCTAACATTTGTGTTCATGAAAGTGTGCAGTTCATCATACTTGTGATGGCTAAGCAGCACCTGAGTTATTTGAAGACAATCTTACCCATTCATAACCACAAGATAGCTCTAATCAGTGCTCACCGATGTCTGAATAGTTTATATTCTTATAATAAAGATTGTTCTGATAATAATTATGGTCCCTACCAAAAATTTGTTGTAGAATAATTAAATATGCTTCTCATTTTGATTCATGCACAAAACTTTTCTTTTGGATTCTTCCTATTAGTTTAACTATGAACTGAACAACATAAGCATAAACTGAACACCATAGCCTACCTACCTGTCTGAGTTTGACCTCATCCACACCGTCCCCTGAGATAGCAGAGCTGGGAGCAGAGCAGATGTTAAATGAGACTCTCACTCCACTGCCTCGAGCAGAGCTCTCAGCAGGGCTTGGCTTTCCTTATTGATGTGCCATCCTAGCCTAGAATCAGAGAGTTAACG